GGATATATTTGCATGGTAACTTTAATCTGGCAGCTTTTGTGATACTATGGATGAAGAGGTGTCTGAGCAGTCAACTGACATTTGAGGACTTTCTCTTTAAAATCTGTGGGACTGACAGTGTTACAGATACAGGCAAGGGAAAGGAGTGTTGAATTACTACTGGCAGCATGATGGCAGAAATTGCGTTCCTGAACAAAGTGTTCCTGAACAAAGAGTACCTCTGGCGTTTGATGGTGAATTTAGGCATGCAGTCGAGGGATAAATTATAGGATTTTTTTCTCATGGGCTGACGGTGGTTGGTTGTCTCAGGTTTTGTTGTTGAGCAGTTTCGTCTTGTCTCACTTATGAATAGAGTAAAGTGAATCTTCATAATTTTGACAGATATCTTGCATTAAATCTCAGGGCAAAGGATAATTTGTAAGGAGATTGTCTTAAAAAAACAAGTCAATAGCTGGAATTTTTGTTACAAGTGACTTACCAGTACTTGACAAAAACAAACTGAATTTGAAAAACAGAGTTCCCTGGGAAACGGACCAAAAATAAACAAAAACAAGAGCATGAGGGCGGGAGGACACACCATATGGAAAAGCTCAAGATTTCAGGGATTTTGTAGCCAGTTGTCATGATGAGCGTCATCAAGTTGCAATATTCACGTGCCCAAAGTGGGCACAGTTCTGTGTGTGCATGAAGTGGCAGTTCTCTGGGAAAGAGTTGGTTCACATGTCACAGGCGCGCGATGATTTGGGAGGACTTCTTGTTTGTGTTGGAACACGTGTTTCCAGCAACTTGAAGAATGATGACAGGTAAAAAATAGGGTGAAACTAGAATAGAAACACTTTGATTTTTTGAAATACTTTTTTTCTTCTGTCAATTAAGTTTAGAGATATATTTCATAGAAAAATATATTGATAACCCTCGTGGCAAGGTCTTCAAGAAGCATTGTCAGTTTTTTTAATATTTCCAACAAAGAAAATCTGAAATAACATACATATGTACTTAAGTGATTTTTTTGTGACTCCTTAAATGTACTGCATTGAGGTTTGATACTCAGCAATAAAAATTGTCAATGAAAGTCTGTATAGATACTGTTGGTACCACCTGACAGAGTCCTTATATTCTAAGGGTTTATTGTTCTGAGGGTTCATTATTCGGTAGATTGTAGGAGCCAAAGGGATAAGGGTTAAAACTATAAGTTTGTGCTTGGAATATTGTTTTAGAAAACAATATAATAGCGACACACAAAACATGGTTAAGTCATGCTGTTGGGAGTAATAGGCTGTAATTTGACATATCTTCACAAAACATCCAGAAAAATATCTGTGGATAAATTTTGTCAGCTTTTATTTGTTGCCAAAACGCACTCGCTAGTCAGTCATTATTTCTGACCCAGCTCCCCTCCAAATCTCAGGAGATTTTAGTTGATTTTGCGCTAGTTGACAAAAGTTGGATGTTGCATGACTTTATGCCATCTCAGATGATTCCCAATGACCTGCCAGCATGCGTACCTATAAAATTCCATTATATCCCCATGACCTGTATGGAAGTTGTGTCAGTTGATTTTCATATTCCGTGATAGGCCATTTTCAATCTGACCCTCTTAACAATATGATTTATATCACTGACATTGGTATGCAGGTTTAAGTACAAGTTGAGTGCAAGCATTGCTCTGCATAGTTAATGAATAAATATGACATAAATTTTGGAATATATATTGTTTACATTTGAACTATGCAATCAAGTTATGTAAATGTAACAGTAATAGTTACAAAATACCAGTGCCGTGTCTCTAAAGGATTAAACTAATCAGTGGGCTTAATGGAATTACAGCAATTAGCTGGGGAAAAGAAATTTCAGTCTTGAGAGATCTTTAAATTAGCTGTGTATGCATATGATCAAGATTGATATTATATTCAGAATGCAGCTGATTGACATGTAGAGCCAGAGAGCATGCGAACGTGCACTTTTGTCACGAAAAACTTAGCTTTAACACAAGAGGTATTCAGTGCTGAAATAATTGACATGCATACAGTCAGCTACATGAAGTATACTTGCTCTTTCTGCGGTTGGTATTTTTATAAGAGTTGCTTTTTTTTCTGTTTTTCATAATAAACCTATCCTCCTAGTGATTACCACAGTCATACAACAATACTGCATGGCTTTCACTCTGTGGATCAATATTCTGATCATTAAAATAAAGTTCGGCTGTCAGGATAAGAACAAAAATACCAACCTGCTCTATACTCTTAGTATGTGTAGGTCTAATTACTCCCCACATGCAGATTTGACATTTGTATCATTTGTTGATATTTTTCTATTTTTTCTTACAGTTGTTATCAGATGCATTTATGCTTCTGTTATAGCTTGAAATATCAGTGTTGAGTTTGCTTATGTTTATATTCAATTAATACAGTAAAACACAAATAACACCCATCAGTTATATCCATCATAGGACTTGGAACATGTTCTGATAATTATTATAATATTCAATTATTTAAATTCATATTTCTCTTCACAAATGACACCTGTCAGTTTACTGAACTGTTTTCAGAAACTATTCAGTGTCTGGGGGGATTAATCCCAGATCTGTAACTGCAAGGGAAATAATACCTTGGGGGATAATTTGCTCATCATTTGGGCATTATAGACCAAATAAACAAGCGTGGCAGTAAAGAACTTATTGCAAATGCCTGAAAGATTTTTTCAGATATATGGCTTTTCCTTCGTGACTTAATTTTATATATAAATCTGAGCCTTTCTAAATTGCTTTGAGGAAGATTCTTAGATTTTTGCTTGAACCATTTTTTGGATTAGGCAGCTGCAGTGCAACACTTGAACAATTCAAATTACAACACAAAAAATTCATAAATTGGTCTTAGAAGTCTAACAAGTGCGAGAGAATTAGGAGAATTTTCTCTGATAACTCCCATGTGCTAGGTGATTCTGTTTTGACTGGAATGACCACCTGTTGGGCAGTTCTGGTCAAGGTTTTAACACAAGGGTAAGTGGACATGGGTTAAGGAGAGGGTCAAGGGTATCTAGTGCAATATGATAAATTTTACCACATTTGAATATTTTTGAAATTGGAATAGGGCTGCAGGAAATGAACATCAAAGCCCATATGGACGCCACATACTATGATATTTAAAATTAATATTTGAAGTTGAAGCCAAATCGATGGAAATTAAGGACGTGGCTGACCTAACAGTTATACTGCGTATTAAGGCAAAACCTAACTGATAATTGTAGGGTTTTGTTTTTGAAAGAATGTTTTGTTTAAAGTTTGATAAAAATAATTGTTAAGAAAAAAAGATGAAAAATGTACAAACTACTTTAACATTTAAAGACCGATTCTTGTTTGAGTAGATTTTATAGCAGCAGTACAGGCAATTTTGCCAAAAATAAAGGGTATCTAAATATCCAAACAAACTTCAGCGAAACTTTTTTCTTTGTGCTTAAGACCAACATAAGTAGACAGAGCGTCAAAGCTGTACACCTGTTACAACCTTACCCAGATGCTATAATTATTTCTTCTTCAGATAAGATGTTACCTAATTCTTTGTCACTTATCCCAATAGTTGAAATTGTGTACACAGATATGCACATAGTTGCCAAATACAACGGTTGTGTGGGAAGAGAAACTCCTATAAGATTGCTGTAGGTGAAGAGGAGTAAGAAATGTGGAAATGTAAGAAACAGCTAAGAACAATTGGGATTAAATTGATATCAGCAGTATTAATAAAATTTCTTAATTTTAATATTAATAATAATGATATTTTATTGACCATTAAATGTTGCATTCATAGGCTCTCTCAACTACCATTTAATTACAATGTTGATTATAGAATTTTTTTTTTTTTTTTTATAGAATTTTTAGCTATCTATAATGTATGTAGAAGTATAAGACACACATTTAAAAGCAATGTATAGATGCAACATAACAATGATCTACTTTTTCATTCTTATTACATGAAGCTGTTTTTATAGTCATTGTTATAGTTCATGTTTAGTAGATGTATCTTGACTTAAAGTTGCCATGCCATAGCAATCATCCTGTATCTTACAGTGGAATGCGCCCTTTGAAATTTTTCTTCTTCTGCTTCTTCTTTTTCTTTTTCTTCTTCTTCTTCTTATTATTGTCATTAACAAAATGCATTTTTGCTTTTATTATTAGAGCTTTTCCACAATTACAATTTCCCCTATGTAACTTTCTTTTTTCTTTCATGTTTTAAAATTTTTTTAAAATATTTAATTTCATATCTCATTAAAAAGAAAAATGTGTGAAATTATACATATTTAGTAAGAGTAGAGGTTGTAATAGTGCTACAAAGAGAAATTTAAAAAAGCCTTTAGGAGTGCGTAAATGCCGTTTAATGTGGCTCCATAGCTGACATGACAGCAAGTAATAGCCAACCTCATGTTATTTAGTTAAGAACAGATATTCAATAAGTAGCATAATTACTAAAAACATGAGTGGTAGCTATGGCGTGAAGCTGTTAGGTACACTGGTCAATATTTGGAAGCTGGTTTGATAAAATGTGAGCAAAGATAGGCTGTTGACTCAACATTTGTGAATTTCTTTGGGATCACACAAGAGGCAGAACTTTCATGTTTGTTTTTTTCAAGGTGAAAGGAAGTCTCATTAAAATGTTTTGTGGTTGTGTCGAATATAATATGTGATGGATGAATTATCATGGTTTGTCAGTTGGATGAAATTGATAATGTACACAGATTAACAGAGCACATTACATATTAGAAATCTAATTATACTAGGAAAATTTTAAAACTAACAGTCTTGTTTATGTTTTTTATAAAGATATATATGTATATATGTTTTCCTCATTCCAGCCACAAATAAAATTTTAGTCTTTCATTTTTTGTGTTTAGTAGTTAAGTACAATTTTGAAATATTTTATTTAACCACTTTTTACAATGTTTCAGTTTCAGTCTCACTACAAATTTAAGATATGTATATTTATGAATTTTCTTGCTTAATTTTCCAGACGGGGAATTTCACGTGGCAGTGTAGATGTGCATCCATTACCCGAGTTTGGGCAGCAGACGCTACCTCCAGAGTTCCTGCAGACAACACAGGATGCCATATCGAAGTAAGGAAATCTCTGAGTTTTTTTTTTTTATCACCAGAATATTTTATTACTATAGATCTCTATTTTGAAAGCATTCCCATGTAGGAGGTTGTGATAAATAAGAATTATACAGATAAAGAAAAGAAAAGAAAGAAAGTTTTTTTGTAAATTGTAGAAATATGTCAAAATGTTATGAAGTTGAAATCATGCATTTTGATTCTCCTTTCCTGGTATCTCCATTTGCCTTATTTACACAGAACTTCAAAGAAATAGGTTTTTTATTGTCTGTTGTTTACTGATGATAAAATGGTAAATTGTTTCTAAGAAGATTAAACATGATTTTATTCTATGAAATGTCATAGAGCCTCACAAAATAATTTAAATCTCCCCGAGTAACTGTTCTATGTTGAGCTTGTTGCTAATTAATGAAATGACATAAACCCAAAGAATGCAGTTATATGACTGGTTTAATGTTACTTTTGTAACTTGTACTCGAAATGGAATGGGTAAGTCAATCTTCTGTGATTGATATGAGCATGGGAAAATGGTTCACGCAAGGCAACATTTAATGTTTGTCTAAAAACAATTTGTGATGGGTAAAGAGAGGCTGTTGTTTGAATCAATTTTATGAAGTTTGCATGTAGTTTTTGGTCGTCATTTAATTTAACGCAGGTACATGTAGCAGATAAGGAAGGCTTTGAAAATCTCGACAACTTTCTAGAAAAGGATAGAAATTGATTGAGTCCTTGTTTTAAAGGGTTTCTTTAAATTTATTTTTGACAAATGGTTATTTTTCACACACTAGTAAATATTAAAAGGTTACTGGTCACATGAGAACACCTGCTGAAACACCCAATTTAATGTGGTAAAATTTTTGTGACATTTCTCCAATTTCTGACAGCAGCACTGGCATTGAAACCAATCAACATGTCTTGCATAGTGAGACAGGAGAAAGAATCTCTTTGTAATTTTAATGGGTTGATGACGTCAGTTTACATAAAGAATGACGTGAGTTACATGAGTGTGTTTGTACCAAAGCTGATTTTTTTTTTTCATTCACATACTGGAGAAAAAAATGGAATTTGTTCAGAATCTTATAAATTAAAGATTTGTCTGTACATTTGAATATTGTAACAATTTTCATACTTTCTGTGGTTTCACTGTCAGTTTTGATACAAAAAATCAATGGTAGTATTTGAGCAATATTAGGCTTCATGTTTTGGTTGCTAAAATTATCTTACCAAGTGAACGTAAGTGTGATACATATATATTTCCTCAATAAGTAAATTGAGGTAACTATATAAATGTTGTCTTTCTCAAAGGGAACAAAACTAACATTTCTGAACTAAATGGTTTTCATATGTTAACACGGTACAATTTGTGTCCATTCTACAATACCGTTATTAAACACCTCAAGAAGAAATACTTGTAGATGGCTTGTTCAATTAACAGAGAGCAGCTTTGTTGAAACTTTCTCAGTCTCCTTGGCTGTTAAGTCCACTGTTTGGTCAGTTTTGAAGCTATCTGTTTGTGCAACAGACTGCCTGAGTGAGCTAATCAGATTTACGCGATTGAAAACTCCTGTAGGGGTAGAATTCCACAGGTTTTATTTCAAGGTATCAGGCATGACATCAAGCACTTTTAATCCCATTCAGTGTTTAGACCCAGCTCAGTCACCAAGACTCTGAAATTTAACATCTCTCGTGCTCTGTGTCAGAGTAAAAAATGCAGTGCTCCCTGCATGAAAACCTATTATGGCTTTGTTTAGGTCTCAAACTTGTCTTCAAATGTCTTTGAAGAAAAAAAGTTGGTAGTATTAACTTAATTACACACAATGGCTCTCATTGTGTAAGTTTTTTTTCTTGCTCAATTTGAATGATCTTGAATGGTGAAGTGGATTAGGGGAGTCACTGAGAACTGTAGTTTGAGTATGTTTTTTGGAGCGTTTTATTGCCAATAGGATTACTGGTATAGAGTTTTCTGTGTTGTCCCAGGGCATTGACCGGCTCATTGAACACTGGGGAAAAATATCAACCTCCAGGCAAAACCAGTTTCTTTTCTGGAATTAAAATAAGCCGATTTCTTGACAGAAAGATTTTCAGTTTACTGTAATGTGATATATTTATCTGCACAAGGCTACTGATATGTGGGAATTTTATTCCATTTTCATTGCAGTCTGTTTGGTTCTTTGAGTTGATAAATTCTGACTTTAATAAAAGAAATCCCTGGTTTATGCACATTGATTTATTACAGCAGACTATAAAACTAGATTAAATGCTTTTAATCTTAGACTGAATAGAATTTTTATGAGTAATAAAATTATAACATAATGTAATGTAAAGAACTACTAGCAATAGGATAGTAAAGTTAAGAGATAATGAATAATGTTTTCATGCTGCCCCAATTTTTTTTCTTTTGTAATCTGCCAGGGTTTGTATTTTACAAGAGTATTCACTGATCAGTCATCTATTATACCTGTTTCAGTCGACTGTGCTGTTCTCTGTGCTGTGTTGTACTTCAAGATAATGCCACTGAAATCAATTGGCAAACTTTGAATAATGCTGCAATGAAATATAGACTAAGAGCATGTTAATTTGCTTGCACAGGGGTTTGCATGTGACCTTCAGGGCTTTGTAGTCCTTGACTTGAAGGGCCACTCTATCACTGCGGTTTTGGTCATGAGGAAATTGAAAGCTGCATCCCTCTTCTGGGTAGGGGCTTGGGGGAGGGAGGGGGGTCTTGATTCTTGTTGCCAATAGTATTGTTTGTTAAGGGGGGAGGGGAAGTTAGAGTGTGTCAGTAGATGAATACCATGTAGATTGAATCTTGATTGTTATACAGTTACAGTTATCTCGTTTTAACCCATTTTATGTCACCATCATATGTTGGTGCTTCAACCACAACATCCCCCTCTGATCTGGGCAGACTGTACCAATAATGTACACATTAAACACTGTCTGTAGGGTCCAAACATTGGCTGCCTTCTGGGTCTTTCTTGGGAAGATTGTCAGATTTTCAAGTTTACATTGACGGGTATCTGACTTTTTCTGTCGGAAGGTCAAAAAAGGAGAATAGAACAACTTAGATAATTTAGAAGACTGTCAGAAAATATCTCTGGATCTGTCTCTGGTCTGCACCAGTACCTCTTTATTCAGCAGGCTGCATCATCCATATTTATCCTCAAATACACACTATCTTGGCATCACCATTAATGTCGTATTTCCTGATAAATGAGATTGTCATCAATATTGCTGGTGAAAACTATGCCCAGGGAACCAATTTACCTGCCTCAGTGTTTGAATAGACAGGCAATAAGTAGTGGGCATTGCTGCAGAGTTCAATTAAGTTGGCTTATGGGGGATGTGGTGTGATCTCCTCTTGAGACTAAAGTGGCTGTTATCAATATACCACACCAAGGGATTGGCCCATGTCCTCTGGTTAGATTAAAACAAAAATTCAATCTTAATTTATGTGGAGACATTGCAGTCGAACATTGCAAAGTTGTGTGGCAAAAGTCGACCCCGCATCTGGGTGGTGATGCTGGATGTGATCATAGTGTTTGGCCATTTTTAATTTTTGTTGACAGCTGTTCATCACAATTTTTATTATCTCTCTTTCATGGAAAAATGCCTTTTTTATTAAGATCCTAAGATTTGTTTTAAAAAAAAGGTCCTGCATGATTATAAGTTGATGATCAGCAATATAAGAACAACTCAGCCCAAGTCCAGAAGTATGAAATGAGGATTTTAAAAAATATGAAACTTAATTTTGTATTAATCTTAAACTATAAGCAGGCTTCAACACTTGATTTTTTTTTAAATTTATTTTATAAGAACATTATTTCAATTTTCATTTTTTAGTTGATTGAAAACTCTTCTGTTTTTTGTGCTACCTATCGTGTTTTGTGATTTTATGGTAAATTAAAATTTTCTCAAATTAAAATAAAACTGTTTTTTTAGCTTAAATATGGACCAGAATTATTTGTTAACATTATAAGAAGTATGCCAAGTCTGTCTAGGGATGATTTTATATTTAATTTAATTTTTACTCTTTCAGTTACCATAGCAGCCGCAGCAGTCCATCTCAGAGTGGGCGGTCATCTCCCTTAACTGAGAGCCAGAGCTGGCTGTGTGGTTCTCAGGCAGAGTGGACAGGAGGCAATACCACTGACCGCAGTAGCATCTACTCTACCTACTCATGGGGGGATGATGTAAGGGCATTGTTTTACTTGTTAATAGACAGGTTTTGACACTGAAATGGTGCAGTTTTGAAACTGTCAACCAATAGAGTAATCTCCATGTAGTTTGTAGTGTAGTTTTCCTGCACTCTAGCTTTGCACAGAGACCTGACCCCCTCAAACACACGCGCTAACGGGAACCCTGCATACACACACACACACACACACACACACACACACACACACACACACACCTCTGTATGAGACATCTTAGAGAGAGTGAATGACTTTCATTGGCTGTTTGCTTTTTTTCTGATCTGCAACTTCAGACAGTGAAGTCCAGATTGACTTGACTGGCCCAGCTGGAAAATGACTGGCCTAGCAGGCTAGTGGTATTTATTTCAAACACTGCATGTTAACTGTACAGATGAAAATAATGTTGTACGCACACACACACACACACAGAGGAATTTTGTCTGTCATCATGAAGAGACATCATATATTATATATGATTCTGATTAGATTTACATATCATCTTGTAAATTATACTGTATTAACAGAAATACTTAAACTTGCTGGCATTATCAATTTATTTGCACACATACTAATCCAGGAAAAGATGACGTACATAGAAAGTGAATTGACATGTGTTTACACCAAATCAGGCAGAGATGACGTAAGGGCTGCTTGATTTGCTCCCTGAATAATGTACTTCATGCGTACTTCTGACTGCGATGCTGATTCTGACATTTCTTTCTCACAGGAATTTGAGAGGCAGGCTTCCAAAACTGTGCGACAGTTGTTTGAAGAAATAGATTCTGTGCTATTTGAACAAAGCCAGTCGGGGCCATCTCATATAGTCAACGAGTGCCAAGAATGGGTGGAGACCTTTCCACATCTCAGGTATGAAATATAGGTGTCTCTCTCTGTCAGCAATATGAGCCCATTCTTGTTTTCATTGCATTAATTTATTGAATAATTATCCATATTATTATTTTTTTAAAAATAATAACATCATCAATCACATTTTGGGGTTAATGAGGAGGTAATATACTGCAGTATGGAATATTTTTTCCATTCTAGAATAATAATAATAATGATGAATTGTACAATAGTCTTACAGATTGCTATATTGATAGACACATGCACATAAAGATATATTACCCCATACATTCATTCACTTCAGTATACATTTCTGTGATATGTCACAGCTCTCAAAATAATTAGGATCCAAATTATTTACATGAACTGTTATTTGTGTCATTTAGACTGGAATTGAGGGAAGTTTTCTTTGAAATGATATACATCTACGTTTAGTTAGTTCTGGTTCTTTAGCCCAATATACCAGTGAATGGTTGTGCTGTATGAATACTATGCACAGTGCGCTATAATTATTTTATTGTGCTTTAGATTTATAAAGCTTTGGTGTTACAGTATTATTAAACACCTAGGTCTTTTATGTGGAATTGTCTGAAAGCATTTTTTCCCAAAAGCCATAAAGTCAAAGAAAGGGGCACACGGTATAATGAAAAGAAAAAGACCCCTGGGTTGAATTTGAACTGCTGTAGACTGGAACTCAGCTGGAAAACTCTTTGTTTTTAGTCAGGTGTCTTGATCAATACAAGAATGCTGGTCTCTCACATAGTTGAATGTGATGATGGTATTGATGTGACAAATGTGTGCTAGCTCTGTACAGTCCCTTTATAGCAAGCAGGCCTGCTTGCAAATTCACAGCAAATTTGCTGCAATGTTTCTGCAAACTGCAATTCCTTCTTGTAAATTTGCTGCAATATGGCTGCAAATTAGCAGTAATATTTTTTTTCCTGCAAACTCATTGCTGCAAACTTTAAGTTTACAATATTCCTGCAAAATTTTCATTTTGCTAAGAAAATGGCCTCTTTGAGATGGTCATTATGCATAATTGTTAAGTGCTCCCAAAATGACCAAATTACAACAGTAACATGTACAATATTTTAATATATTTATGTTTGACATGTATCAAAGAAGTATTTCATTTCCAAGAAATCTATAGCTTTATCCGCCACCCTTTGCATAATGGACCACTTTCTCACAATAACAGTGCTTAATAAGCCTGTTCAGTGAAATCATACTATAAAGATTATTGGTATCATATAATAGTAGCTCTTTGTAGACTTCGTATGCAGGAGTGCACTTCATCTCTCAGAAAATAGCGCAGCATTCTATTTCTGGCCATGACATGATCTACTGGCGGAAGATTAATGCCTGCCATTTAAACCACTAGTGCTTGACTCTTGTGTTGCCAAGGAACAGACAAATATTTTTCCCTCTTTCCTTGGCTCTTCATATACTTGTGTTGTTATTGGAAGGGAGGGGGATGTTCCTGAAGCATGGCTTTGAAAGAATGGGGGAAATGTCAATTGTGCCACTGGTCATTGTTCTTACTATGTTAATTGTTATATTTGTTGGGTGACTGTCCATTTGAGATTTATGTAATTGTTAGGGGACATATTTAATATTATTTCAACTGTGTCTCAATTGTGTTCTTTTGTGTTATTGCATTTGCTGTTTTGAGGGGGGAAAGTATTCCAGAATAGGAGTAATTTTTTTTTTAATTAGTTACTTTGTTAATTTAATTTTAAAAAATGTGTGTGTGTGGGGGGGGAGGGGGGGGGGCAGGGGATAAGTAAATAAGCTAGCCTTAATGAAAGATTACTTTTTTATTTGTTATGCTTGAACAAACTAAATTAATTTTGTTAATTTATTTCAAGTAAACTTTTTATTTTTATCAAATCAGTTCCATATTTAATGTAGTTATTCTATCCTGTTCTTTCCTATATTATCCTATCCTATCCTATCATCAGTGATTATATATATGAGATGGGAATCAAAATTATTTTATATCACATACAACTGTCTCTTGCCTGTTTGTCTGTATTCACTTGTAAATCAAGGCACCTGTTCTTTCTGAAAAAAAAAAAGAAAGAAAAAAAATGCTTGCAAGAAACCTGTATATATGGCACCCTGTTAAAACAGCTGCTGTGTTAAATGATAAAAGTGGGGAAGTAAATCAAGACATAGAAAAATATTTTTAGTCAAGTGAAATAGCTTTATGTAAATAGATCACTTTAAGTACCAGTAAACGTAGGGGAAGGGATATGGGAGATCAGTGTAGGAAGAGCTGTAAATTATTACGGTTTTTTTTCCTGTTTTCACTCTTAAGATGATGTTTCTGTGAGCATTTTGTGTAGTTTGTGAAATATTTTTATTTTCAGATGTTTAAATATTCTGTTTTATTATGATTGATATTTAAGTTAATTCCAAGTATTTTAATTTTGACATCACAAATACATGTTGCAAAACTAGATATTATCTCATCTACGCAAATGATTTATTTGTGTAAACAGTTTTCTAAAAAGACTTCCAATGTTACATTTATTTATTATTATTATTTTTTTTTTTTAGGATATTGGGCAGGCAGTTTTTCCCTACGCAAGACCAAGGTTTTGTTGCCATTGCGTCAGAGACGCCTCGCCCTGCCACTGGCAGTGTACTGGTGGATGTGACAGAGCAAGACCTGTCTGCTACGACAGAACAGATGGGGTATGTTGGAATGTGCTTGATTGTCCCACCCAAAACACACAAAAATATTAACATACTTACAAAACGGTCAGAAAGTTTGAAATTGTTGATGGCAATTTGAAATAGCAAAGAATTATATTTTGCAGGTATTTGTGTAGTGGAAACAAGTTCTAATGAAAATTATTTAAAATTGGGGAAGGATTTTATTGTTGTCTTGTAACTACATTGTACTCATGATTTGTTGTTTCCAGTCTTTCAATAACTGGACGTCAAGTGACCCCCAGGAGTGTACCATCGGACAGCTTGACCCATAGGACCAACCCGGACTCTGCTGGGGAATATGCACATTTGGAGGAGGAGGTTATAGAGCAAGATGGGGAATATGAAGATATTATAGCAATAGATTATAAACATGAGTAAGTAGTGCTCTTCCTTGGCGTAACTTCAGTTTGACCTTGAGATGACCTGACCATGAAATCACCTTGGCCTTGGTCTAATATGTTGATAAAATGCAAAACTAGAATATTAGAAATTTCCCTCTGCTAATATGTTAAGAAGGCAAACTAGTACATGTACATAAGATACTTTTATTGCCATGCATAAAGGATGCCCAACTTTGTAGGTATATATACTGTGGTTCAAAAATGGAATGGAAAGTTTTTGAGCATCAACTGAATATATGGTATTTAGAAAAAGGGAGAGGGGCTCACAGACAAAATTCACCTGTTTTTTAAATGTTTTCAGTGATGATGAGGGTCATGAGAGTCGAGTATATCACTCCCCGCGAAGACGGCGTCCAGGCTTCCCTCCAATGACTCCAACTGCATGTGCTAAGGATACAATAGCTGTCAGTTCATATGAATATATATGGTCAGAGGTAGGAGGAATTTTATTTACAGAACCTAGGACATTTGGATTTTTTTCAAGAAAACACAAAGCATATAATATATTAAACATTTTTGAAAAATGTGCAAAAGGTTTAAAGGTTGCTTAATCAGCTTTTCATAATCAGCTGAATTATTCAAGCAGTTTATTTTAGCTCTCAATCAGGTAGAAAAATTAGCAGATAAAATTGAAATCATTACATAATATTTAGTGTATGTTTTAAGTTCCATTTTGATCTTTTCAGCAGGTTGTGAATAACCTAAAGAAACTGCTGCGGTTATACCATGTGCAGTTATTAACAGGTCAGTGTTAATGTCACACCTTTGTAAATATAGCTTCAGAATGACTTTAATGTTGTCAACCATCTGTATTAGCTCACTTAATTATGTATTTGAAGAATTCATGTTATCATGTTTGTCATTGAGTTTGTCTCTTGTTCTCTACATCTGTCATTGTACAAGTCACATGTAATTACATGTACAATACTCTTCAGCAAGACCTACATTTGCACCTACATGTATAAGTTAACTATTCATGCTTGGCACATGTGTATATATCAAATACACTTCACAGGCTCGTTCTGTGTTTTTTCCATAAACATACTGTCATGTAAACTGCATTGGTTTACAAGTCGATATTTTGGATTGCAGAAAAAGAAGAGGAAGATGATATGCCCATGTTGCCTGACCTTCCCTCACACCTGGGAGCCATCATGAATGACAAGGTGCCTCCATCCAGGGAAAACAGCATCATCAATGATAAGGTGAGTTTTCCTTTGTAGGATTTCCATCTTTCTGTACCAAATTAATTTTATAATTGGTAAGTCCCAATATGATATATTTTTAGCTGTAAAGAAATATATATGCATTGCGATCAGTCATAAGGTTGTGTGAGATATTACTTATTGAACAAGTAGAAACATAAAGATAATTATTCATTAATAATGAGGTGTATTCTGAACAAATATTTTGAAAAAATTATTAAATGAGTGAATAAATTCTTAAATGATAAATTAGTGGGAAAATAATTGAATAGAAAAAAATGTGGAAAAAAGTAAATCATACATATCGGAAAATAGAAAAGGAAAAAATAATTGAAGTATTTTTGATTAAAAGTATAACATTTTTCATAAAATAATATTTTTTTCAGCAACTGACAAAATTTCCACAAATGCAACTCGAGTATGAGGATTCATTTGTCAAAGGTCAGCAAGGCAATTTAGACTTTGGACTGGTCATTTCATCCTTCCCACTATTAAGGCGGGAGAACTCAGGGTTTGGGTAAGCTATAAGTCACTTTGTTGTTATTACATGGCTTTGTGAGCTCTTTCTTGGAATTTAACCATTTTCCCTAAATAACAGAGGAACCTTCCAACCAAAAACAGTCTAGCGCCATTCAACAATAATGGATACATCATATTTTTATTTGGAAGTAAATTGAATTAGAAAGTTAATCAGTAACATGCGGTAAATACCAGGTTGTAAAATTCATTGGTATTTTGTGCACTTGATATATGATATACATTACAGCAATTATTGTCATATTTTATAAGATTATATTACATTCTAGTCAAATGTAATAAAAAAAGGTCAATTTTATTGTTTGTCACAACGTCAATGTGGCAAATAACTTCATTTGGACTAACAGCATTTTAAGAATTGACATTGGCATTGGTCTAAAAGGGTAAAGCAGTGAAAAGGCAATCCATTTGATCTATGATGGACCACTAATTCTTATAACCATATTGTTCTATTTTGTACGTCCAGGTCTGAGGCAATGGAGAGACCAGGGTCAAGTTTTAACTTCAACAAACAAAATCGTCCTATCAGCAACATGTTCATGGGAAACAACTCATTCCTACGCAATCCATCCTCGGCCACATTCCGTAGAAAACCCCATCCGCAGAGGCTGGCCCCTCTGGACGGGAGGGCGAAGACGCCTGGGGCTGTAAGTATATCAGGATGCCAGAATTTGGTCATATATTGCAGGAGAGCCTACCTTTCAGCATACTCACCATGCACATTAAAGATTTTTGATTCCTTTTGGTTTCAGATGTAGACTAATGTAAATCTTTTGTAAATGAAATGTTTCTAAAGTTAAACACAATTTTAGAATCACAAAATTAAAATGAGTTTCATCCTGGATTTGTCTTATAAAGTACGACACCATAATTGATTTTTATCATTTTAAATTAATTTGCGAAAATTGTTAATTTGATCTAATTTACAGTGAATAGGTAATTATTTATATGTATTTCTCCAGCAGGAGGGAGAGGAGAAGCTTGCTATAGGGGGTATCCAAGGCCACCGGCTAAGTACATTCAACGAAAGGCTGTCGTCACCGCCTCAGGGTGCCTCTCGTGCTTCAGCACATCCACTGCCACCTATAGGCTTTGAGAATATTGATGGTGCAGCATCGCCACAGAATGCAACAGCAGCAGCAGCAACCAATGCACATACCTCGGCAGCTAATCCACAGCAACAGAAAAATAACACTACCACGGTATGTGTTTTTCTTTAAGGGTGGTGGGGGTTCATTAAAAATATTTCTAAACAGACACTGAATCTATATATTCTACTATGTTCACACCATAAGTGCTTAATCTTATTTTTGTGTTACTTTTAATTTGCCGAGTGTTTTTGATTGGTAAAAAGACAGGTTCATAATTAAATCAACATGACCTAATTATTTTTAAAAAAAGTTACTGTTAATTGGAATGTACACATTTACATAAAAATATAGTAATGGGAATGGCTTTTTTTTCTGTTCAATGTCTGTACATTTTCCAGTTTTTCTGTTTGGTTTACAGCATGTATACACCAAATACTTAAGAAAATTTGATAAAATATTGTTTATATGTTTTCCCAGAATTATTTGTGATCGACATAAAATAAAGTGGAAGTTTGTTTATTTTTATGTATCATGATGAATCGTATGATGATTCATCCTCTTGAATTTTCAGCAGAAGAAAGCGCATTTTGCTAATCGTGCCAGCAGTGCAGTGCATGATAACAACCTCAGGGCGGGGAAAGATCGCCTTAAGTCTGCACACCACTTAGAAACAAGGCCAAGTACAACACATACATTTAGGGTGAGAAATTCTTTAGTTAGATTCCTACGCTCAGGCATGAGACATTTTTTTTTTCAAATACAAATCTTAAGAAACTTCATAACATCATCAGTTAAAGATTTTTTCAGTAGTCATGCATAGGTTTGTATAATATGATATGTACTCCATAGCATCGGACAAAAATGATGCAAGGTTCCCAAAATTGCATTTAACTTAACATTCAAAACTTCTAATTTTCATAAACAACAGCATAATGAAATATTATATAGTGAAGATGAAAAAAGTTAGTGGCATTTACTATTTGACCTGCGTGAAGCAAACTTCTGATATACATAATAAAACATTATGGAATATTATAAACAGCATTAAATCCGCATTTAAGCTGATGTAATTAAGCTAAACTATACATGCACATCAATGAATAATTGATATATTGTATTTAAAAAATAATAATAAGGAATGAACCTTTCAGGCTGACACCCCTCATGGTCAGACCCCTAACCCAGCTGTGGCAGCTGCCCTGGCCAATACTGTCCCCAGTAGAAGATCCTCAACCCCCCTTGGCTACAGTGGAACTAGGGGAGGGCTACATTTAGGTAAGAATAGAGAACTCAAGCCCGTAGCCAGGGGGATTTTGGGTGGTTCTTTTCAAAAGACCCCCCCCCCCCCTTTTTTTTGCCGGCAAAAGGTCCCCTCTGGGTAAAATTTTATTTGGATACATGGTGGTGTCATGGTAAAAGGTTCACTTTTTCAGAAAAAGAACCCCCCTTTTGAAATTGCTGGCTATGGACCTGGAACTTAATGGTAAATGCTGATAGAAAGTGACAATGTACACTTAGTATGGAAATTTATTATAAAAAAATTTATTTTATTTTATTATAAAATATATCAATAATGTCAACACTAATACAATTATCTACATACAGTGTACTATAAGAGCATGCTCTCTGATCTTGAAATGGGTTTCATTGTATTTGCTGAGATTGATTATGTTGTTTAGTTTGGGTCTCTATCAGTTAACAATTGAACACGTCGTTCATCACCATTACTACTGAGAAAGTAAGGGGTACTTGTTCCCACAGTGTGATGCATAATATTAGAACTTGTAGAAGACTAAATCCCCTCCCATGTACCATCTCAGCAGAGTGAATGGACAATGTACATTATCTAGTGCTGTTAGGGTGACTTCTTGTGGTCAGGGTAAGATCAGATTCTAATTTATTTTATCCGCAAAACTAATTAGATTCTCTGTTAACCTTACGCAGGAATATGTAATACTTTGAACTCAAAATTTATCATTTGTAGGTTCACCAGCAGGGAGGGAAATGTTGCTGGGTATTACAGGGAGTGGAATCAACCCAAGCTCTGAGGCAGCTCATGCACATATAGACTATAATGAAGACAGCCTAGAAGACCAGGCAGTCCATTCACAATCATGGGGTGAGGAAATATAGAGACATTTGTCAGAGAGCTTTTTCATTTTTTTTTTTTTTTTTTTTTTTTTTTGAGGAGGGGAGATCAATTTATCAACATTCTAACTTTTTGCAAGATATTTATACACATGGTACAGAGTGTGAAAAATATGAATGGAAGGTTAAAATGAGGAGAGTAAGTGATTTTTTAAATTCCCTCTCTTCCAGATTTTATTTTCAATTTGTGATGGAATAATTTTCTTTTTTTGCCTCTTCAGCACCCAGTCACACTTCTCCAGGCAATCCATACAGGAGAAAAACACAACTCAACTCTGTAAGGTGATCTTAGCCAAAGACTATGGTCTGATTTCATATGAACCACACGGAGCAGCTAACCTCAGGGTACACGCACAGGAGATACAGGACACATTATTATCAACTACAGCAGTAGTGACCATGAACACTGAATGCTGTTATCGAGGGCCGATGGAGACTGTCTTCTGGGTCTTCTGGAAGACAGTCAGAATTTTAAAGTTTACATTGATGGGCATCTAATTGTTTTTGTTAGAAGACGGTTAAAAATGAGGATGGATTAACAAGGAAGATAATTCGGAAGACTACCAGAAAATATTTCTGGATCCGTCCCTGGTTATTTGTGATATATACTGAAATATGTGCAGCAAAGGAAGCATGGTAGATAGATATCTCACTGGCTTTTTTACGGAAAACAATGTCTGTTGAGTTGAGATCACTTAGAGGTCCAAAACTAAAATGAAGTGAAGGGCATATTTCAGTCCTGTTAAACGATACAGTTCCATGGAAATAAGAAAGCCTGGTTTGTTAGCTTGTGGGCATTCTGCATACCTACTCCATATGGCTTTATCCTGCCCTCTGATTCTGCGTGCCATACACAGGGTCGATTGTCACAAAGTTCAGGGGCATATCAAGAATGATTGTGTCTATTCACTCATTGTGAGGAATGGAAATGCACCTAGCGCATTGGTTGCAGCGTTGTTGGGTTGTCCCACGTTTAATGGTCTCACTCAGGATATTTTCAGATGGCAGCCAAGGTGATCATTATGAAGGATGTCTATGGGATGTATTTATAACAAACTATTTCTGTGGCCAAAACTGCGGTGCTTTGAGACACTGTGATGTATTAGCATTAATGTCATGTATTTCCCTCGCCTTAGTTGCAGCACAAGTAGTGTTTGTGTATGTTAAAATGTTTACAAGAGGGAATTGGATGTTTGAATATTATGCAATTTAAAGATAAATGTCCTAATAATTATAACAATATTTATGGATTTCATGGTTAAGTAAACTCTTTATCATTTTTTTTTTTAAATAATTTCAATGTTAAATTCTAAACAGTGTTTTTGGACTGTATTGTGGAAAATTAATATCTGTTTTAGAAAAGAGTTAATATCAGATGAGGACTGTTTTTTTTTTTTTTTTGTTTTTGTTTTTTGTTTTTTTTTATTACACACCTTTTTCTTAATGACAGATGACAGTAGTCGTCATTATTGCCATATGTGTATGAAGAAATAAGTTTTCTGTATTCCAGAAAAAATATTGGTGTCTTTTTCTTTATCTTATTAATTGGTATTATCAAATTTTGAACAACCTGTAAATATTGTGAATAGTACATGTATGCATTTGTACAGAAACTATTTGAAGTTGATCAGTTTGAAAAATGAACATGGAATTCCAAAGGGTAAACCGAATGGTTTGTGTAGAAAATTGAAGTTTTTTATTATTATTATTATTATTATTATTGCAGGAAATGTAGGAAAGGTTTGTAGTTAATTGGGAGCAGATGAGACACTTGTGTGTATTTGTTATGAAAAAAAGAGAGAAAAGATCTGATAGATCAATTGCACATGGCAGTGTCTGTTCAGAATGTGTTATTTTACATCTTATCATTACGACAGTACACAAGGAATGTGGATCTAAACCCATCAACTTTCTTCTGTGCTATCGTTAAGTTTTGTTCATATCTCAAGAAATGGCTATCCCTAACCCAAGATACCTCAATGATTTAGCATTTTTAAGAAAGTATAAGCATTTAATTATTCCGTTTGTATTTTGATGTGATCTGTAGAAAACATGGTGATGAAATATCACAGGGGTGGCAGATGTTTTTATAAAAAGGCATGTTGGTGTAAAACTTGATAACACATGACACTTGATAACACATGATAAAAACAGGATGTATACTGTGTATGACAACCTCAGTGAGGTTTTATTCGCACTGATATACAAAATTCAGTGCTAACAAGAATCCAGTGCTAACAAGAATTGAATCTGTTATATTGAAGCATGCAAAGGCGAATCTTTCATTTCACCTGTTTTTAGTTTTGCCACAATTTAGTTAAGTTTTGGTAGTTTCCAGGCTCATTTATCTGAATCCATTTGACAAAGGTATTGCATTTTGACGACGTTTTAGCTTATCCACGAAAGATACTGGTTATTATTCAACATGTATTCCAGAAAGGTTGTGTTATGATCAGGAAGATTACTCAGGTGTCATTTCATGACACAAAAATATCATTGTATGGAGGTTGTGATGTAATTTTTTTTTCAAAGTATCATTACACGGAAGTTGTGATGTCATTGCAGGTGCATCGTGATATCATCTCCCAAATATTGTGGATTGAATGAAAGGAAAGTGTAACATTCCTATCACTGCATCTACATCAGTCTACTTGTTATGTTATCGCCTGGCTTTGGATGGTAAAAATAGAACCATTTTGCATTTAGTATTATAGATACTTTAACAGCATGCAGCTCCTATACTCCTTTAAGATTGATATTAATGGTATGCTGCAGAAGTAATTGTTTTACATGTCTATGTGCTGGAACATATGTGATCTGAAGTTATCCGCGAGATACTGTATATTTATATTTAGTCTTTTCGTAATGTGTACTAGCACATGACTCCATACAGTAAATAGATCCTAAAAAGAATGAGAGTTGTATGAGCAATTCTCTGAGTCAGGACGCATGTGAAAATTGTAACTCTTCCAGTTTAATGATGGTGTACCCCTGGTACGTAAGATCAGAACATTTACGTCCCAGTACCACGTTTAAATAATGATAGAAAGAATAAATAAATAATGTAAAATCGTTTGTGTTTGTTTTAGTAACTTCAAGGGGTCGTAACCTTTTGTCAACACAAAAACAATATTTTTTTCATACAATAAAAGTGGAATAAAAAGGAATGAATTTGGAAAATTATTAAGGGAGGAGGGGCGGGTTGAGAATGGCATCCCAAGTAATTGGCATAGACCAAATGTGACGTTATCCTGTGTCCTGGTCCTCAGATCAAATCCGGTCCCTGGTGTAATGTTTCAGAGAGTCCTCCAGTAAATAAGTTATAATACTGATGGATCTTTGAAGATCTACTATAAAGATGGATTACATATTACACCTTTATAGTAGATCTTCATAGATGTATCAGTATTATAACTTATTTACTCTTTTAAGATCTACAGGGTGATTTTACATGAATCTATAGAGAGTCCTCCAATGACAGAGAGTTCGCTTCCCATTAATTTGAACATGTAAACCTCGCCCTAGATTTTGACTCGCGTGGGTCAGGCTAACCCCAGGCCCGTAGCCAGGGGGGGTTCGGGGGGTTCGAAAGAACCACCCTTTTTGCTGGGAAAAGATCCACTCTGGGTAAAATTTGATCTATGTACATGAGGATTTTATGGTAAAAGGTCCACTTTTTCAGAAAACGAACCCCCCCTCTAAAATTGCTGGCTACGGGCCTGAACCCTAACCATTATAACTAAACTGAGGGCAGACTTTTTCAGTTTTGTTACACTGGACTCTATTTTTGGTACTGAGCAGTTCTGTCTGATCCTACTTACACCTGTGAACGTCCATCATGCTGTCTTCAAGAGTGGTCCACGAAAAGGTCTCTTGGCTGGCTCTTTAGACACCTCTGATTGCTATAAACAAATGCATTTAATTTATTTATATTAACTTCACTTTTGCTATATATAAATTATTTAAAAAAACAAATTAGATGATATTGTGAGGAAAACAGTGTAACGCTATATGTGCTGTCGCGTTTTTTTTTTTCTTTTAAACTGAAGTCGGTTTTTTCTTCGTGAGCGCCCACACTTATATTTTGTCATAACACCCAGTTTCTTTAAAAAAATCGTGTAGGGAATAGATCATGCTTGAAATTTTGTCGAATGCAACTAAGCATGAAGTGTAAATTTGTACTAATTTATCCTCATCTTTCAGTTAGAATTGATGATGAAAGTAAGCATTTAAAAAATCTCAATCCAATGAAATAACGTACACAACAAATATCCACCAGGTTAAATTTTGTCAAGAAAATGAAAACTACCTGTAATGGCGATTTTAAAATCTAGGATGATTCTGAAAAGAATGGTAGATACTTCACGGTCTCGTTTTATTATCTCTTCTTCCAAAACATTTACTTCACCAATTGTAAAGTAGTTCAAGCCAGACCAGGGGTAAAACTTAGTGCAACCTTCTTGCCCGTGGAACACGCCAAACTAAAGGGACCATTACCACAGATATTTAGATCGATCTATCTCCCTGGGGAGTCTCACTAAATTACGATCAACTTAACAGGCTTAAATGTCTGTCACGCTTAGTAAAGCTGTTAGGGCGCATTCTCAACGAATTAAGCCAGGCTTTACAAAGCCGGTGACCTAAAAATGGCGGACGTACATGAAAGAAAAACCGCCTAATCTTTTAATAGTCTCTCCTCCTCTCACACGCCTCCCCACACGTCGTCCCTGCGGGGTACAGTAATTAAATCTCGGCTCCGAACATTAATATTTCCGTGAATATCTCTGGTGATATTATCTCCGTAGAAAGTCGATTCATTGCTGCTCTACGGGCCAAATTATTCCTTTTTCGTCTCTGTTTTCAAAGATAATAGAACAGAAGAGCTTTTTTCCTTCGATCGCCTTCAGCCGCCATGCTTTCTTCACCAAGAGTTTAACTGATGAGCATGCGCACTTAATATTTCTCAGGTAGCTTCCGCATGGCGAACGGAGACGCGATTTAATTTCTTTCGAACCCCCCGAACCCCCCCTGGCTACAGGCCTGTGTAGTAATGCACGTCCTAATGGGACGTGCATTCCTAACATTTTAGTAACGCATGTCCTATATGGTTTACACCGAGACATGACATGAATAAATAGATATAGAGATGTACTAGTTTTAAAGATATAATAAACGTTTCATTTTTAAAGATATTATAAACGTTTAATTTATTCAATTTATATGACATTTTATCTTTATATTTTACAATGCTTTTATTTCCCGATAGGTAGTTTATATGCATATTAATGAAGTAGCAAAAAAATTATTTATTTTATGTGTACTTTTCATCTAGTAAACGCAAATTTTTATGTGTTAACGCGTATTTTTGGCGTACTCCTCCCTCAGTGCACAATATGTATGAGCCTGGTTTGCCCGATTTTTTTTAACAAAATAAGGCACCATCCAAAGGCATCCCTTATTTTCCTCCTTTGAGGTATATGTAGGCCTACAGAGTATATACAGGTCATGTCAAAGATAGGTCTCGCACCCATAGATGTAACAGAACGATTCATGACTTCTTACCTTACGGACTTGAACTCTAACCACTACACAGACGAGCTGAAGTTGCAAACCTCTCATTTTTTGTCTGATATATGGCTCACCAGAAGGATTTCATATACATTAATAGTTGTATCATTTAACCGTATTATTGCCAAAGGATAGGACTTTTAAATGGCCGGACTTATATTACTGTGATAGGTGAAACAGGAATAAAACTCCGACAGTAATACAAGTCCTACCTACTCTAATTATGAACCAGGAACTTAAGTCCCTGTAGGACTACTATTCCCAAGTAATGTTAGTCCTACGCCACTTTTTGCTCCTTGGTTTTACGTGTTATTGATAAAATGTTAACAGGAAAGGCACGGATGCATTGCATGACGCAATGTGAGTAACATTTTTTTCGTAAATGTAGCAAAATTCATTACTTTTTCGAAGGTTGTGAAATTTACAAATTTCCGACCGCGACGACAGTGATCTGTCCTGAATATTTTCCAACGTGCAGCCAGTTGCCACATGATTGATGGTGGGAGTCACGGTTTTCCTTGTCCAGTATTTTGATGTTTTTTGTTCTGTTTGATGTCATTCCATTGTGTTCCGTTTATTTTTCTTGATGGTGACTGAGGGTCACTTTTTGGACACATTTTTGCCTTTTTTTTTCTTTTTTTTTCTCTTTGTTAGAGACCGACCGGTCTCTACAATGTACGATTCACCACACGTATAGCACTCGCATTCTTACACCAC